AACAAATTACTGTTGACAAGTTTGTTGACTATTTTTGGAATAAAATAAACCAAAAAGAAGAAAATCTCCACTTGATGTCAAAAGATGCCAATTATTATCTTGTTTTATATGAAGATGAATTGTGTCCATACACACACAAACACTTATGGACACCAGAACAAACAAAATGAATTTCTTTACTTTCTATATTTGCCTAAACGATTTAACCAAAAAAAAAATAAAGTTTGACAATCAATTTAGTAACCATAATAATAATAATAATGGGTCTTAACACGTATTTTTCTCTTCAAAAACAAAAATATTCAAAAAAAAAACTGATCAAGTCAGCAAATCCATTGTTGTTGTTGTTTATTACAGAATTTTTTTTTTCATTCTTTTAACCCCCTCGACCAACGCACTCACATACATCAAAACATCTAGGGTCATTTTCATATATAAAATACATTCATTCTAACGATTTGTGATGATGATGATGATGACTGCATTATTCAAATTGTGGTGGTAGCTGCTGCTGGACTAACTTTAGACAAAAATAAATCCCAAACAAAAAAAGAAAAGAATTGTCCATTTTTTTCCAACAAAATTTTACATAAACATAGTGGATTTAGAGTGTTTGTGTGTGTTTGGGGAGAACAAAATGTTGAATTTTGCCACATAGAAACTAACGACGAATACAATAATCATCATGATGATGACGAAATCGGAATGTTTTTTTTCTTCTTTTTCTTCTTCACTGATAAAATGAAGGGGGATAGAATTAAAAAGACTTGTTTTTTTCCTGACTGGAAGAGGGAGAGAGAATATTCTGTTCATTTGAAATTCTAAATGTATTTAATAATATTTGGTGGTGGTGGTGGTGGTGGTGGGGATGGTGGACAATCCACCAACAGAAAAAAAACATCAATATGATTATTGCTTTTCGATCTTTTTTTTTGCATTTTTTCCCCTCCACATTTATATGTAGTGATGGTGGATGGATGATGTTTTCATTTTATTTTTCCATATTCGATTTTTTTTCCATTGCTTTCCCCTGTCTTTCTCTCTCTAGCCCAATGCCCATAAGCCATTCAAATTGGACCATACGGACATTTGAATTTTTTTTTCTTGTCGAACGGCTGGAGAGAGAGAGAGAAAACGAATAAAGAATTTCTTGGATGAAGCAAAAATAATAATAATTCTATACTAGAAAAAAAATGTAAAAAAGGCCAGAAGAATAAATATTCCATTTTTTTTCTTTTTCGCTGGCCATCCATATAATAATAATAATAATAATGAAAAATATTTAAATTATTGGCTGCTGATGGTTTCAGGGTGGTTAGTTGTCGTTGTTGTTCGTTGTTGTTGGTTGTTATGGCCATTTCACAAATATTTCTCTCTCTTGCTACTGAATATTCGTGAATGTAATATTTCGTTTTTTTTCGGAAGGGAGAGGGGGAGAAACTAAGAGAAAATGATTTAAAATATCCATTTAAATAAAAACCAAACCAAAAATAGTGATACAATAATAATAACCACGAAAATAGCCTAAAATTTTCACTAATATTTCACGATGGCAGTCAAATTATTGAATTTAAATCATTCAATTTTTTTTACACGAGCATTTAGTCTTTGAATTTTAAATTTTTTTTATTTTCGCAAGTTTTCTTTTCTCATAGTTCCTGTTCAGTTCATCAACATCTTTTTCTTGTTGATTTTTTTTCAAACAAAAAAAAAAAGTTTCCTCTAATAACACACACACACATCTCTGGTGAATTCTCATTGGTGCCCAGGAAAGAAAAACAAAATCGAATTGTAAATTGAATGATTTTTTTTTCAATATTTCTGTTTTTCTCAGAATATTCTCGAGTTTGGCGTGAATATAAATTCTGTGAATATTATTATTTGGAATATGAAAGCAGAGTGAGGAAGAAAAATGAAATTTGCGATTTTCACATTCCAGAATTGATGAAATTCTAGTAAAAAAAAATATTCCAATTCCATTCTTCAACAACCAAAATCCGATGATGTTTGATATTTCTCTCTCAATTATTATTATTATTATTTTCATTTTTTTTTGTTCGCAAAAGTGATAATGATGTGTTTTGATGTGTTGTTATGGATGATGAGGGGAATCAAATAAAACGAGAATAAGTCGACAAGCGAAAAAAAGCAATTTGAATAAATTTGAATATGGATTTTCGAGAGAGGGGGGATTTTTGTTCGTTTTTCCATATGATGATGATTATTATGATTATCATTCGTCTAACGTTCGTAAATTCTTTTCTGTCGAATTCAATAACAACAGCAACAACAAATTCTTTCAATTTCAATTGATGTGTGTGATGTGATCCATAGAGACTCATTTTTTCTTTTCTTTTTTCTTTTTCTTTTTTTTTGAATATAGTTTTGTTGTTGTTTGTTGGATTATTTTCAGTTATGACTGAATGTGAATTACATTGCATTCATTCACAGTCACAGTTTTCTTCATATTATTGAATGAATGAATGAAACTAGAATGTTTTATCATCATCATCATCCATAGACGCTGATGATGATGATGATCGTTTATTTTATTCACAGAATATTTCATGGAATATTTTTGAGCAATTCAAAAATTCTCTCTCTCTCTCTCTCTCTCTTGCATTCACTTACTGATTGACACGAGTTTATTCTTTCTTCTTTTTTTTATGATAATACGAGATATTCAATGTTTTGTATTGGCCTTTGATCTTGTTTTTTTCTATGGATTCTGGTTTGTTGTTGTTATTGTTTTTTATTGTTTATGATGATCATCATCATCAATAATAACAAATCTTTTTCGAACGGAAATTATTATTTTGGTTCTCGGTGGATGATCATTCTTTCCCTCTCAGCCACCTCTCACCCATCATTACATTTTTATGAATATTCCAAATTCATCATCATCGTTTGATCACGAACCAAATTTTCAAATTTTTGTTATTGTTTGCTACTGTGATTTAAAACTATAGTTGATTTTCTAGGAACTTCTAGAACAAGCAAACCAAATATAATAATAACCATAATCATAATTAAATTATGTTTACATAACTATCAGTCTAGTTGTGGTTTCTTTGTTGTTTTCTATGGAAATTGAAAACGAATCACGTAATTTTGAAAATAAGAACAAAAAAAAACATTGATTCATTTAATTCATTTTTTAATAATGTTGTTTAAGAAATGAACAACAACAACAACAACAAAAATTTGATAAATTTAATTAAATTTTCTTTTTTAATTGAAGAGAAATGCATTTTTTCCCGTCTGACCAAAAGCAACAACTTTGATTTTTGACATGTTTAATATCCGCAATATCTATGGTTATGATAATCATTATCATTGCATAACACTAAGGAAGAGAGAGAGAAAGAAAGAATAAAAGTTAGAGTTTTTTGGCTCCCACCTTAACACATTGTTATCATCATTATTGTCAACCCTATGCATTCTATTCGCATATTGAAATGGGAAGGGATATATTTTTCATAATAATAAAATATAAATGAAAAAAAACTACGGAGGATGTATATTTGAATAGATCATCATCCTCATGTAATGTATTCAATGTGTTATGGTTGAGCGAGAGAAAGAGAAAACTAAGCAGTAAAAAAAAAAGATTGAATGGGTTGTACTCTTTCATTCATTTATTCATTGCTGATGTTGAGCTTGCTGAATAACCAGAAAAAATCAATTCTCACAAATTTTGAATTGATTTTTCGTATGCAAACATCACCAACTTTGAATTGAAAAGAAAATGATTTGAAATTCAAATCTGAATGTATCGTGCTGCTGCTGCTCGTATCTTTTTTTGGTGAATACATTGAACATCTCTTTTTTTTTATCAAATATTCAAATCATAGAACATCCCCAATGTCGAATCTGATGCATAATAAGGGTTGAAACGCGAACAACAACAAAAACTGAATGAGGAGGAGAATAAAACATATATAAAAATTTAGTGATTTGATTCACGCCTTTGAACATTTATTTAGTTTTGAATGATTTTCTTTTGCAAAATGTGAATTGACAATCAACAATCGACATTGATCAAACGATATGCTCTGATTATATTTCATTTTGATTATAATTAAGTCTTTTTCGTTTACAATTTTGCAAACCTGAATTGTAATAAATTTATTAAAAAAATGATCATATTTTTGAAAGGGGGGATTCACTTAATTCAATTCAGATAATGATGATATCTATAATTTTTTTTGTCTGAAAAATTTCAATTATTGAAAATTTAATTATAAAAAGAAATGAAAATAACATGGTTGATTTGTTGATTTGACTTTAAAAAAAATAAAAAAAATAAAATGTAATCATTTTGTGTGTGTGTGAATGGAAACATGTTCAGTGAGTTCTTCATTATTATTTGGTGGACAAAGTTCTTTTAATCAATCAAAATCTCTTTTCTTTTCTTTTATTTTGTTGGTGAAGATTTCTCTCTATGAAATCAACACCAGCAGGTAACAAACAACAAACAATGATAAACGCCTACGTACCATATTATCACATTCTAATTTACAGCAACATCAGCAGCTTTTTCATCTTCGGATCAGATATTTTTCAAAAAAAATATGACTGATAACGAATAACCGTACAAAAAAAAATTATGAAAAAGTTGTCATCACCATTACTTGTCATAAATGTTTTTTTCATGTTACAAATGATGACAAATTTTTTTTTCGGGTAAATTTCTTTTACGGGTTCGGTTATCGTTTTTTTTTCTTTACACCTAATCGATCATTCATTGTCAACTTTGACTTTTTTTTTATTTCCATCACATAGGCTTTTAGTTTATTTCCATTTTCAATATCATCATCATCATGATGATGATGATGCAAACTTTAATGATCCGTTACCAAATGATTTTCCATCATTATCATTTAAGATTGCGAAGAATTTTACTTATTTATCTATTTTTTCATTCATTTTTACGCATAGATCCTTGATTGAACGAATGGAAAAAAAGTAAAAAAATCTACCTCAGAATCGATAAAAAGTTAAATTTTTTCCACTATACATTCTATATGATCAATTATGATGATGATGATGATGAATATGATTATGGATGGTCAACAGCATCATCATCATCATCAATCAACTAATGTTGCTACAGTTTCGGCTACTCCAATTACAACAACAACAACAACAACAGCAACAACTACTGCTGCTGCTACTAATACATTGGTTGAAACAAATCAAACTAAATCAATTGATAATGGTGATGATGATCAAATGATGAACCATGATGATAATATGAATGATGTAAATGGTATTAATGTAAATACTTGTTATGATAAATCTGAAGATGATGATGGTCAAGAAATCATTGATGATGATCATCAACAACATGAAAAAATTGATCAAAAATCCCGATCACCGGATTCAAATCATTCCAATGATAATGATGATGATGATGGTGATCATAAACCTACAATGTTCTCAATGAAAAATCGTTTACATCATTCCAATACGAATCGTCGACGATCATCATCAACATCATCATCACCAGAACTTAATAAAGATTCTGAACAACGTTCAAGTCCAGATATGATTGATAATTATAAACGTTCATTATCATCATCATCATCAACATTTGATCTACAACAACAACAATTACAATTATTACATTCATTATCAAAATCTCAATCAATATCGGGTGGTCTAACAGCCCAAGATCTATTGAATCTGGTCACAAGTTCATCATTTACTTCATCACCTTCAACAAATACATCATCAACTACAACAACAACGGCGATAACGAATAATAATGTTTCCGGTAATCATATCAGTAATAATGAAAATAATTCAGGAACAACAGTAGCAGCTGCGGCTGCTGCTGCTGCACAAGCTGCTGCGCAAGCATTTGCCCAGGTTCTTGTTTCAAATTCATCGCAATTAGTAGCGGTAAATAATCTGCCAGCAATACAGTCATTATTAGCTAATCAAGCATTTCAAGCAGCTGCTGCGGCTGCTGCTGCTGCTACCGCTACATCCGGTTCTCAACAACAACAACAAAAATCGATTCAACATCGTGAACAACAACAGCTATCCGATCAATTATTGTCACAATTGATGATGAATGTTTATCCACATTCACAGCCAACAACAACAACAACAACGAATCATCAACTGAATCAATTGAATCAAGCATCATCATTTTTTCTTCCACAAAACGTGAGTGAAATTCAAAAAATTTTGATTGATTTGAATATAATAATGATGATTATCGTTTTGTTTGAAATGTTTTTTTTTGCACTATTATTTGGGGTTGGGTGGAAATAGATTCCTAATCTGGCACATTCATTATCATTGTTTAATCAGAAAAATGGTCATGAAACGTCAACGCAAGCAGCCGCTGCAGCATTCCTAAGTCCTTTACTTCCTCTATTAAGTGGTGGTGGTAATGTATCTACTTCTGGATCACAATCCAATCTACAACAACAACTACAATCACAACTTTTACTTAGTAATCCGGTAAGTAATTTTTTGAACTTATAAAAAAAAGAGTTACAAGGATAAATAAAATAAAATGACCCTAATTTTATAATTTATTTTTTTTTGGTTTACAAAGAATTTCTTTCAACAAAGTTTAATTGGATTACAAAATCTAGCTAATAATGCTGGTAGTAGTAGTAGCGGTAGTGGTAGTAGTAACAACAACATAACCGGTAATCATCTATTTCCGACAAATTCATTATCATCAAATACCGGTAATCAATCAATTACTAGTGGTAGTAATAGTAATCTATTAGTCAATAATAATCGATCATCACCATTATTGAATAATAATAATAAAAATGATCAATCAAGATCATCATCATCATCATTATCACCTAAAATGAATAATAATCAAAAATATTATCATCATGGATTTACATCGATTGATCAACAACAACAACAACAAAATCGACAACAACTTAGGTTAGCAAAAGAACATCAAAAACGTTTAATAAATCTATATCATCAACAACAACAACAACAACAACAACAAGAATCAAATCTAATGAATTTAAATAATAAACGTTTATTATATGATGATTTGAATATGATCGGTTCGGAATCATCATCAACATCGACATTAATCAATGATCATCATCATCATCATCATAATGGTTTACAAAATCAAAATGTTAATCATAATCATCATCATTATCAAAATAATAATAAACGTACATGTCGTGAAACATTAGCAATGATGATTAAAGAACAGCAACAACAATTAAATCAAAATCAACAACAGCAAATTGATAAACAAAGTGGATATAGTGGTAATAATAACGATGATAATAGTAATGACGATGACAATGACGATCGAGAATTATCACCATCATCATCATATTTAAAATTGAATAATTCACCGATTACGGTTAAATCAATTCGTCAGCAACAACAACAACAACAACAATCTCTTGGTTCATCATCATCATCTGGATCATTTAATGTTCATAGTAAATATAATCATCATCATCATTCATCATCACCATCTTCTAATCATCATAATCATCATTCTTCATCAAATAAATCATATGGTGGAATTGTAAATCAATCCAGTAATAATAATAATAATGCTAGCCTAACATCGGTTAGTTCAATACCAGCTAATCAATTACGTGCACATGTTAATCGTGCTGATTCTGATGAAATAACTGATCTCGAAGAATTGGAACAATTTGCTAAAACATTTAAACAACGACGTATTAAGTTGGGTAAGTTTGAACATATCTCGTTTTTAACTTTTTGGCAAAGAAATCAGATTATTTTAATTGAAAAAATGTCAAAAATTTTTTTTGCAAACTTTTTTTTCTGTTGTTGTTGTTTAGGTTTCACACAAGGTGATGTTGGCCTAGCTATGGGTAAACTATATGGAAATGATTTTAGTCAAACAACCATATCTCGTTTTGAAGCATTGAATCTGAGTTTTAAAAATATGTGCAAATTAAAACCATTACTTAAAAGATGGTTAGAAGATGCTGATGCATCATTAAATAATCCAACCGGTACAATTTCGATACCAAGTCCAGCAGCATTAGCACAAATGCCTGAAGCTGTTAGTGGACGGAGACGTAAAAAACGTACCAGTATTGAAACAACTGTTCGTGTTTCATTGGAACGTGCATTCATACAGAATCCAAAACCAACATCCGAAGAGATTTGTATGTTAGCCGATGTATTATGTATGGAAAAAGAAGTAGTACGTGTTTGGTTTTGTAATCGACGACAAAAAGAAAAACGTATCAATCCATTGGGTCCGGGTTGTGGTTCACCACTTGGTTCATCACCAACCGATATGATGTTTTATTCCGGTGATTCTTATGTTGATCAAATTGGTAAGAATTTTTTTGCCTGTTTATTTATTCGAAAACAACATGAATTTAGTAGAATTTTTCCAAAATTAACCAACAAAACACAATCTATTTTCAACAGGAAATCGATCATCAAATAGTTCAACATCATCTTTATATGGTGGTATTGGTGGTGGTGGTGATTCTCCAATCCCTACAACTAAATCCCATAATCAATCATTAATAGGTCATTTAAATTTATCACAACAACAACAACGATCTAAACATAATCAGCATTCGATTTCGACATTATTAGATGATGATGATGATGATATTGATGTTGACAATGATGATGATTATGTTGATGATGATAATGATTCCTCAATGATCAATAATCAACAACAACAACGACAGCGAGAAACACCAACGCCGATGACGACAACGTCTACGAATGCAGACTGAATTCCTTGATGACAAATCAATCACCTTTTTTTTACCTTTGAATTAACCATTGCCTATTATAATAAATATTATGTAAATTATATAAATATTATTTACAAACAAAAACAAAATAAAACAAAACAAAAAACAGAGAATATTATTTAAAATGTTGACCATAAGATTTGTTTCGGAAAATTGTCTGTAGAAAAAAAAATTTGATGAAATTAAAAATTGTATTTATTCAATTCCGAAAAACACGAAAATTACCAATCTTTTTCAATGAAAAAAATGTATGAATAAAATGATTGTTTATAGTATGAAAAGAATTTTCTTCTTCTGCATCCTTTCGAAATATTATATTCACAAACACAACATACATTCCCATAGATCTTCATTTATTTCAATTCATTTGATATTAATTCTGAATAAAATAAAAAAAAATTTTGGATGAAATCAAAATAAAAAAATAAAAACGTCTCAATGTCAACAATCAATGTTGAATTCTAAATCATTCATTTGTTTTGTCTGGTTTTTTTTCGGGTAAACAACATCATCATCATTCTATGAGCAATCAATCAAATCTACCCGAATTTTTTTGTTTTCTCCGATATAATACACTTTGGATCGCTTTGTTTCTATTTCTGTCTCCATTCAAACAAACAAAATGATGATGATATCAAATTTGTTGTTTTGTTTTTATTCGTAATTTCTTCTCATTCTTCTTCTCTATTTGTTTTCAATCTCCCCATTGCTTTATGGACTTGTTTCCCTTCCATTCCCTTCATCATCATCATCATCAATTTTATCGAATATATACATCATCATCTGTATGGTATGTTTTAAGCTTATTTAAATTTTTTTTTAGTTTCCATCCACTCACTCACTCACTTTGTGATTCTCTTTGAAACAAAAAAAAAGCAAGAATAAAAGAATTTTCATCATCAAAAATACAAAACGAAAAAAAATCTTTCGACCATCCATCCATCGATCCATTTCATTTCACTTCATTTTTTGTCCATGCTCATTTGCTTAATATGGCCAATTTACATACACCATACACCATATCCATCATGGAAAAATAAGGGCAAATTTCATTCATTTCATTTTGAAGCTAAAAAAAGAGAAAATAAAATGAAGACAAATGGAACCTGATGATTTGATGTTTTTTGCTTTGTTTTTTTGATGTTTCGGACCATCATCCATCGAACACAGGGAAAATTTATTGAATTTTTTTTTTATTTGGCCCTTCCATCATTATCATTTTCAATTTTTTTTTTTGAAACTTCATCCAAACAAATGCCAAATATGCAATTGAATTTGTTTCGACAGCAACAAAAAGAGAAATATGTAAATTTCTTTTTTTCCTTGAATAAAATATCAAACAACGGTTCATCAATCAAACTTTTTTTTTCTTCACTGCAATATAAAGATGTAAATCACATTTGGTCAGATTTTTCCATTCTGTTTGTTCGAACCACCAAAAAAAAAAATTTGTTTTATCCCAAACAAATTGATTTATCTGAGATTCAATTTTGTAAAAAAGGTAAAAAAAAATTCTGAATCATTTTGCATTTATTAATGACATTCATTTACTTGGAAATTTATTATTATTATTATTATTATTTCACAGAGCAAAAATTGTTTGGAAAAAGAATTTTTTTTTCTATGTAAATTGTTAATGTGATGAGATTTTCATCTTGAAAATTCGTTTGTTTTTGTTTAGTTTAGTTTATTTTTTTACACATATTATTAGCACAAACATTTGGAATGAATGAATAATGGAATAATGGAATAAAAATTGGAATGAAAATTCTGGAACAATTCTGAAGGTTTTTTGGTTGTAGGTGTTGCACTAATTATTTTTTT